ATCTGAGAAGCTGGATTATATGAGGAAGAATGTGGCATCAGGATTGGAGGAAGACTCATTAACAACTTGTGATATGCAGAAGATACCACTCTGCTTGCTGAAAGTGAGGATGACTTTAAGCATTTACTGATGAAGATTAAAGACTACAGTCTGTCGTATGGATTACACTTAAATATAAAGAAAACAAAAGTCCTCACATCTGGTCCAATAAACAGCTACACAATAAATGGAGAAAAGACTGAAGCTGTCAAGGACTTCATATTACTTGATTCTACAATCAACACTAATGGAAGCAGTAGTCAAGACATCAGATGACATATTGCATTGGGCAAATCTGCTGCATAAGACCTCTTTCAAGTGAGGAAGAACAAAGATGTCTCCTTGAAGACTTAGGTGTGGCTAACCCAAGCCATGGTAATTTTCAATTCCCTTTATGCATGTGAGAGCTGGACAATGAAAAAGGAAGACAGAAGAAGATTTGATGCTTTGGAGTTGTGGTGTTGGAGAAGAATGCTAAGAGTAACATGGTCTTCTTAAAGGACTAACAAATCTGTCCTTGAGGAAGTGCAGCTGGAATGGTCCTTGGAAGCGAGAACGGCCAGACTTCATCTCATCTACTTTGGTCATATTGTCAGAAGGAACCATTCCCTGGAGAAGGATATCATGCTTGGTAAAGTGGAGGGTCAATGAAACAGGGGAAGGCCCTCAAAGAGATGGATTGACACAGTGGCTGCAATGATGGGCTCAGGTGTAGCAAGGATCATGAGGCTGGCACATGACCGGTCAGTGTTTTGTTCTGCTGTTCATAGGGTTGCTATGAGTCAGAGACAACTCGATGCCAACTAACAACAATAACATTCCTACATGTGTTTTTGTGGTAGACAAATACCCGTATATATTATAGAACTAATAGGGACAAGGTTGTAGTAACTTGTTACCAATGACCAAGCATCCTGAGGGAGTGAGTCACCTGGCATGTGGGCTCAGGACTATAGTGTTGGGGCACATCAAGCTCAATTAGTGCAACACAATACATAAAAATCTTGTTCTATATCTTACTTTGGTGAGTAGTGACCAGGGTCTTAAAAGGTTTCTAGCAGCTATTGGTCCCCTCTTATCTAGAGCAAAGAAGAAGGAAGAAAATCCAAGTAATATGGGAACAATTGGTACAAGGGTCTGATGGACAACGAGAAACTTAGCCTTCATGACCCTGAGACCATATTAACTAGATGGTGCCTGGCCAATGACAACCACTAGGAAAAGGATCAAAATTGGAGATCGTTGGTGGAGTGGGAGGAAAATGTGCACAAAATTCAAAAACGTAAAAATGACCAGGAATACTAGTTGGCTAGAGACTGGTGAAACCCCCAAGACTATGGCCCTGGCTTACCCTCTGGGCCTAGAACTGGACTCACGTCCATGGATTAGCTATCAGTCAAATAGTAGAAAGGCCTACAAGCAGAACACCTACCACAGGGAGATGCAGCCATCTGCCCCAGGGATGTTAAATCAACGTGAGAGATCAGAAGGGCAGCATTTGGAGAAACCTGGACAGAAAGGAATTCATAGATAAGACACAGGAAAGGGGTAGTCACAGGGAGGAGATGGAAGGAGAACTATTTATTGTTGGGATTTTAATAAATGCCATGAAATCAAATGTGTAGGAACTGTTGAAGAGTAAAATGAATCTGCTTTGTAATCAAAGCAAATCACAATAAATAATTTTTTAAAAAATCAGATACCAAAAGGCAAAAACTAAAGATTTGGAAATTATTTTAGTAGACCCACAGTCCAAAAGTTTCTAGAGACCAGAGAAGTAATGAATTAAAGAGATGCATATCTGCAATTGCTGCTTAAAAAAAAAAAAAAAAAAAAAAAAATGTAAGTGAAGAAAATGTTTCCTGAAGGAGAAGTGATCAAATGTGTCATATGTTTCTGAGAGGACTAATAAAATTAGGACTGAAAATCAACCACTGCATTTAGCAACATGGTGATTATTAACTCTTGAGTAGCACTGAATAAATGGATGTTCAGTTGGAGAGAACTGAAGACAGATGAGAGGTTAAGATGTAGAAAAAAATGAGCATTTTTTTAAAAAAAGTGCAAAATTTACTGAGACTGAATATAAAATGTCTTTGTTCTCCAAGAGGTCTCCTGTATATGTAGGATAACTATTTTATATCAATAATCCTTGAAAAATAGTCTTTTTAAACAAAAAGGACATTGCCTTTATATTAATAATGATTTTAAAAAATTCTGTTACTACAGGAAAGAAATAAGTTAAGCTAAATAACAAATTTTATGAAAAACATGGAATCTTTAGTGTATCAGAAATTTTATTATCGTATTATTAGATTGCTTATGTACAAACTGAAAATAGATTTTATACATCATCCCCAAAATTAACATGCTGAAACAGCATTGTTCAATATGACTATTTAGAAAACAACTGTGGACTTTTTTTTTTTTTTGAAAGATGATTTCTTTGTCCTATTTCCAAATCTTCCTAGACAAGTTGTTAGACAGCAACCACATATCATATGTGTGAACTGAATAAGGATAAATGTGTCTTTTGCAACAAAAAGTCTGAGGTTTTATGTAATTATAGGCATGCTGAATGAATAGTTTAGAATAATGTGCCACTGTCATCAAATCATATCTTCATATACACGTGTAATCCATTTTGTACAATGGTTTCAACTCAGTGTGTATGTAATTAAATTGTAAGGTTCAGTAATAGCTGCTGCTGAGTTGAAACTTTGCTTTTTCAGTTTAAAGAAATGAATAGAAAACATAATCAAGTGAACATCAAAGTATTTTTCTGAGACAGTTAAATCTCATCAAAGAGGTCTTCAGGACTGGTGTTTCTTAGAGTTTCTAAAGACATGTTTTCAGTTGAGCTGTGCTCCTTTTTCACCATCTGAGGTAGTGAAAGATCAAACCTAGAACAAAAGAAAGTCACAATAATTTTATTAAAATAAAACAAGTCTATTATAGAATAAAGAAGATTAAGTGACATATAAGTGAAATAAATTAAATCCTCTTTTCAGAATTGATTTAGAGAATTATTTCCCTATTCCATGCTAACCATAAAGAAAGAAAGAGGGGGATTTAATTTCTTTAACAGCTACAGAATTAATCTGTCACTATTCCGTGTTAATAAAACTCAAAGGCCTACAAAAAGACTCATCATCAAGGTCAAGAAATATAGAGTGTCTTCTTTGCTGTAGTCAATTTATGCCACAATATAGTCTGTTTCTCAAGCCAGTCCTTTAATGATCCATCATGATTTACATTTTCTTTCTGCCATTAAATTCTACCTATTAACATGCATTTTAATCTCTTAATGGTAGAAAATTTCCTTTAGTGGTCACTTTGATTTTAAGTGTGTATGTAATTCATGATGACTCTTCACATGCTGTTGGCTCACATTCATTTAATGAATAGCCATATCTTCATGTTGTTGTTGTTGTTGTTGTTATGTGCTGTCGAGTCAGCCCCGACTCATAGCGACCCCTCCTTGGGTTTCTGAGGCAGTATCGCTACGGAAGTAGGATTGCCCAACCTTCCTTCCGAGGAGTGGCTGGTGGGTTTGAACCGCCAGCCTTCTGGTTAGCAGTCAAGTGCTTTAGCCACTATGCTACCAGAGCTCCCATATCTTCATGTAGTAAACTAAATTTTGTTCAAGTTCAGCACTACAACAATGGGCCAACATTTTATTTATGTACATTTTTTCTTTGCATCCTGGTAACAGTCTTCTTCAATGCAATGATCACTGTTAACTGGCCTTGGGAAGGGTGAGCTAGAGGACAACAGAGCTCAATCAGAAGTAAAACTTAGTAAATATGTTTACATTCTAGTATAAGCCTTGTCAGTGGTTCTCTATGGAACCTAAACAAAATAGGCTTAATAGTAACAAATTGAGGTGGCTCCAGGAGAAATTATGATTAAGTTGAGTCAACCCAATAATATCTCATATTTTTTCCAACTTCAAAGGCAGAGGAAGAATCATAGCAGGAGCTGGTACAGTGGAAAAACCATGGGACTTGAAGTCAGCACATAGATTTGAACCCAGGTCTATTTCTTCTTATTAGCCATGTAGCTTTTGGTAAATTATTTAACCTAAATGGACTTCTGTTCTCTAATCTGTAAAATGGGAATAGTAATATCCACCTCATAGGTGGTCTAATGATTAAATTACATGATGTAAGTGAAAATGCTTATTACAAACTACTACAGAACATATGGAAGCTATTATTATTAGCTGCTGATATTGCATAAACTACAAATTTTCTGCTAATAGAACAGACTCCTTAATTTAAAAGAATAACCAATTAAATATAATGAAACATCCTTGTTTAGATTATGAATATTAAAAAAAAAAGCCTGTACCCACACTTAGTTGCACAGTTGAATACAAGAAATGAATCCATCACAGGTTCTCCTTGGCCTTCTGACTGCATGCATTTAACCACGATTGGCTGCCACTAGACGTAAAGCATGTGTTCTGCCTTGTCCCTAGCAAGCTAAGTTCAGACAGCATTACCCTCACAAGAATGCCAAGGTGCTAGGCATTAACACATTGTCAAAATGACAGGTACTACCCTGTGGGAGTTTCAACGATAAAATTAACACTAAACATGGACATAATTATTGTAACATGTAACTAAGTACCTAAAAATAGATTATATAGGAGGAGAAGAGAAAATTATATAGTATAGAATAAAGATATAATTATTATATGTATAAGTTTTCAGTGTCAACTCAAAACACATTAAACATTTTTCTCTGGCCCTAAATGTCTTTGAGTTGCTTTTTCTCCTCGTAGGCAAGAGAGAGAATTGAATTATTTCAATTAAAAAGTCAGACATGGAAAAACCTCAGTAATTTTGTTCATAGTCTAGACACTGCAACAAAAACACAAGAGATCTATCAATTTAGTTTTTTTTAAAATATCAAAGTAAGACCAAAGGCCCACTCTGAAGGAAATAGATTCCTGGTATTCTACTTATGATCCTCACCTACTTTCAAAGTCATAAGGAGCTTATGAAATAGGTAATTGACTCTTGTGCTTATAGTATCTAGTACATAATAGGTGCTCAGTAAAGGTTTGTTCAGTGAATGGATATCATTGTTCTATAGTTTTCATATCTGTGGTAAGTCAACAGAATAAATTTAGAAATCTCCCCACAACCAAAAAGAGTATGATTATTTTTATAAGCAATAAATGCTTACTATATAATACTTTAATTCTGAAAAGTATAGAGAATATAAATGCCCATTATCCTACTTTATATTATTTGAATTGATATTTTTATATATACATTTACAAAACTGGGATCATTCTCTTTATATGTAGTTTTCCAACCTGTTAGTTTTTACGCTTCAATATATTAATGGTGTCTTTGGTGAAAAATATAGATCTATGTTTATCATTAATTTAAATTTGGATATAATATTATCCTATTGATGGCTATTTGGGTTGGTTCCATTTTTTTAATGCTTCGATAAATAACAATTAATATAGCTGTACATGTATCGTAGCATATTGGTCATATTTTCTCATGGAGGAAATCCTAAAGAACTCTTGTTCCAAGGATTCGTGCTGAAAGGTGAAATTTGAAAGCAAATAAAGTAGAGAATCTGTATATAAAGTCTTAATGGAAAGTGAGCTAACAAGTAATTTGAAACCTGGGAGTTCCTCTCTGTCTAATTAAATTACAGACATTAGTCACGGCCCAATTTAAATTCTAAATCTTCCATGAAAACTTTTTCAAATGTCCACATCCAGGCAGGTTTTTCTTTCATCTGAGCACTTAGAATACTTAATGCCTGCACCTTCTATTTCAATACATAGTTTTAGTAATCTAATATATATTTGTTGAATATGAATTATGAGAAGTTCACTGTATTAATGAAATGTAAAAAAATAGAATAAAGGTCACACATGATTTCTGCTCTCATAAATCTTTCAATTAAACTTAATTATTATCTTTGCTTTTTTCAACTGTGTATATTAATCCTAAAGATTCTGTAAGTATCTTGAAGGCAAGGACTATATAATTACTTCATAAACAGTGATTTATCCCTTTAGGAATCTTTAAACACTACATCAATATTTAGGTTTTAGGTATGTTTTCAGATAGCTTCTCATGGGCAACATGGTTTACTATGAGGAATGCTGAACTTTATGTTCCACCACATCAAGATTTTGGTCAGACCCCTGTACCATTCAGGAACTCAGTTTCTTAATTTAATTTGGAGAAAGATGGGGTTATGATAAATTATCTTGGTGTCCCTTTCAGTCTCTGAACTCTGACATTATCATGCTCAAATAGGTGGGTATAGACTGCTTTGCAAAATATGTATGCTTGGTAAATATTTGTGGAATAAATGAATAATGTGAACTAAAGAGGAAAGGCTAATGACAGAATAAGTACCTGCCTTTGTAGAGTAAAAGTCTAAAGTGTAAGAGGATAAAAAGAAAATTCTTCAAATGACAGTCTTACTAAAAGATGCCTTAATGTTCTTAGTACTCTGACTGAAGAGATGCTTATGTTCTATTAGCATGATTTCACACTACATTACAAAATACACACACACACACACACACAAATAACTACAACTTAAATCACAATTGCAGTGCCATCATCTAATTGACAATGAATAGGGCCAATCAAAAGCTAGATTTGTATAAAGAAATATCTCATCCTGAAGAAGTTTCTTTAAAATGAATGATTGATTTCTCTTTTTAACTTGAGATTTATATTTCCATTTATTGACTCATTTATACAGACAGAATTTCTAAGCCAAGTTTAAAATTCAATACTGTGTAATATTATGGGCTACATGCCTGGAGTATCAATCTTCTCTTGTTTAAATGAGAAGCATTACTATTAGAGGCCAGGAGCTGACTGTGGAACAGCCCATCAACTGTTCAAATGCAAGATGAAGTTGAAGCTGAAGACAATTAAAACTATTCCATGAGAGCCAAAATATGACCTTGATTACATCCCACCTCAATTTAGAGACCATCTAAATAATAGATTTGATGCAATGAACACCAGTGATCAAAAACCAGATGAATTATGGGATGATATCAAGAACATCATACATGAAGAAAGCAAAAGGTGATTAAAAAAACAGAAAAGGAAGAAATGACCAAAATGGATATCAGAAGAGTCTTGCTCTTGCTCTTGAATGGAGAGTAGCTAAAGCAAATAAAAGAAATGACAAGATAAAACAGCTAAACAGAAGATTTCAAAGAGCAGCTCAAGAAGATAAAGTCAATTATTACAAAGAAATGTGCAAAGAACTAGAGTTAGAAAACCAAGAGGGTAGAACACACTTGGTATTTCTAAAGCTGAAAGAACTGAAGAAAAAAATTCAAGCCTTGAGTTGCGATACTGAAAGATTGTATGGTCAAAATATTGAATGATGCAGGAAACATCAAAAGAAGATGGAAAGAATACACAGAATCAGTGTACCAAAAGGTACTGGTCAATGTTCATCCATTTCAGGAGGTGGCAATGTGATCAAGAACCAATGGTATTGAGGAAGAAGTCTAAGCAGCACTGAAGGAACTGGCAAAAAACAAGGTTCCAGGAATTGATGGAATATCCATTGAGATGTTTCAACAAATGGATGCTGCACTGGAGCCAGTTACTCATCTATGTCAAGAAATTTGGAAGACGGCTACCTGGCTGGAAGAGATCCATATTTGTACCCATTCCAAAGAAAGGTGATCCCACAGAATGTAAAAATTACCAAACAATATCATTAATATCACACAAGTAAAATCTTGCTGAAGATAATTCAAAAACAGTTGCAGCAATACGTTGACAGAGAATTTCCAGAAATGCAAGCTGGATTCAGAAAAGGAGATGGAATGAGGGATATCATTGCTGATGTCAGATGGATCTTAGCTGAAAGCAAAGAATGT